TACCCGCCCGAGTACCTTATACGTACCTAAAAGTACTTTAAGGTACTTCAGTACCCGAAAGTTCCTGTGACATACTGGTAGCAGGGTACTTTTTCAGGTACCCTTAGCTCAGTACATTCACTAGGGAATGACTTTTGGCTCTAGAACGAACGGAAATGTCCGTGTTGCTAGCCATACACCATGACTAACTGCTAGTAAAAATTGTAAATATTTTTGATCTCTCAACCAGTCCTTGTTTAAAATGACTTTTGTTTTTCTATCTCATTTTTATTTTCTTTATTTTGAACTTTAATAATGCTTTATCGTACAAAATTGTCATCTAATGATGCGCTGCGATCAGTTTAAGAAACGATCTAATCTAAAAAATGTCGAAACAGAATATCTCCAGGACGTTGAAAACGGTGTAATTAAGTGTCTATTAACGGCTTACAAAATGTGTCTTAAATGATATTTTTTAGCTAGTAAACACCGTTTTTTGACTATTTTTAACCATTATAACTGGGAACGTATTAATGCTTAAAAGTGACACTTTTTTAACGGCCAAGGAATAGGCTGAAAACAAGCATTTACCTGTGACCGTTTAACGGCAATTTTTGATTAATTATTGGCTGTTTATGGCCAAGGATCCGACTGTTGATTATGACTAATTTCTTTCTTACTACTATCATGAAATAAATGGCTATTCAAATTTTGAAATATTTTCAGTTCCCTAGGTATGATCGGTGCCATCCCATGTCTTTAGTGTTGTTTAACAATCGGCGATTGTCGCGGTTTTCTGAAAAGTCGCTATTTAATCACAATATGTCGGCGACTGTTTTGAACACCGCGATTAAAGTTGATTATTTTGTAAGTTGCGATTTCTCAAAACATCGCTGGCTAATCACCAATTTTTCGTTTTCTACTCATTTATCGTTTAATTTTGCAGGTGACCAAATAATAAACATGAATTTCGACCGCAATTGTTTCTTTTTTTCGGTTTAATCTTTTCCTTTAGGCAAATGTTTTTGGAAGACGTGTCCAGAGTGTTCTTCATGATCTCCTCAGAGCTGACTGGTTATTTTGACAAGGATCAGCTTTTGAATCGAGGAGTCCGATGAACAACTGTAGTTCTGGACAGTGTTTAAACCGATTAATCAGATGAAGAGGGTCCGAGTAGTCGGCGCTACCATAAGAAAGTCATTAAAGTGGAAACTAATGAAAAAAAGCAAAAAAAGTAAGTCGCAAAAATATCATCGACTAATCGCGACAAAGTATCGCAACAATCGAATGCCACATCACGTAAAAGTTGCCGATTTTTAAGCGATTAATATCACATAGGATCACTGGCACCATACCTAGAATCAGTAGCGACTTCGTCAACACAAGTTTCGATCACTTATATAGTCGAGTCAGTACAAAACTGTACGTTTTCTATGAGAAAACAACATGAGATATATAGTAGTGGCATCATTAAAGGTCAGATGAAGGACAATGAATAGTACCTATTAACTGATCATTTTTTCACAATTAAAAGCCTGTTAAAACTCTATTGTTAGCCATTTCGTTAACGGGTCCTTTACGTCCTATCAAATGTCAGTTGTTTTTGACCTGAGTCACGATAAGTTAAGCAATCCCGAAAGCAAGGAACATTTCAGTTTAAACCCATGCTATCTTTTTTTTAAAACAGTGTGTATGTAACAGAGCTCCTAATCGGATCTATTTTTTATGACTCAACGCGGCTATCATTGAAATCGGTTGGCCCGGCCCGTCCTGTCCGAGCCCTACTTTAAATTTAGTTTAAACTAAATTCAACTTTATTATAGCAAAATGCAGAAAAAGCTTTGCTAAAGATTGGTTCAACGACAATATCAGTTAATTACGAAAACAAGTATTTTTTGGAAGAGATGATTTCAAAAAGATATGAACAATAGAGAAAGAAACACAAAAGAAGGTTAAGGAAAAACAGATATGCATTTTTTTCAAGTGATTTTGCACGAAGATGAGAGATACAGAAAAACAAATATCCATTAGCAATGTATTTGTTTATTCTTATCATTAGTCACCTGAAATTTTAATTGAAAACATGGAGAAAAATTCCAGAATTTCTCGGGCTGGGCTAGCCTGAAAAAAACGTTAGCCCGTCTGAACTAAAACAAGTTCTGAGATGGCCCGCCCAGCCCGAGAAAAAGAATTGACCGACTCGATCTGAGCCGGATCGGTCTCGGACCGGGCGGGCCAGTAGGAGCTCTGATATGTAATGTGCCAGTTTTTTCTTGTGCTGAAAAGTTAGTATTTTTGGCTCATTCACAAAAGGACTTACCTGATTTTCCGAAAAAGAAAGACAGCAAAAAGTCACATCTGAAGGAACATCGTCACTTTCTCTACATGACTCATCACCCATTCATTGAGATACTATCGTCATCGGGAATCGACGATGGATTAACTGGATAATCTATAATCAAGTTTAGAATAAGTAATCTGAAAAACCTTGTTTCTTACAGATGAGAATTTAGAAATTTTCCAAACGAGTGATATTCCAAGGGACGCATTCTTGAGAGGAATGAGATTCGGCGGAATGGTCTGAAAGCTGTGGTGGCGGATTTTTTTCCTGTAAAATCAACGAAAACTATCAGAGTATTTTTATATTATCTCACAACCTAGTGCCTAATGCCTCTAGAGCTGTGGGGGCAACGCCCCCATTGTTCCTATGGTTCCGCCGCCTCTGAATGAGATACTGTCATTTAGGTTAGAGAGAACAGTTGAAAATCCTGAACGGCTACCGATTCAGAATATTCTAAGTAGAAATCTTGTACAACGACGTCGAGCGGGATGTTGATTAACACTTCTAATCATAAAATAACATTTTTATTATTCTAGTGTAAATCTATTCACGTAGTAGACCCCTCTAAATTGAAATTATAACAAGAGGGAAAAGCTCTTTTGCACGTTTTCAGTATTAGTATGACTATTTCTCCTTCCACCATGAGCATCTACTAAATGGCTGTTTGAATTTTCTGATTATAACAATTTTTTTCAATGTCAAAACCATAGTTACTGTATTTATTGTTTTTATGACGTCGAGCAGGTAGTAAAAGTGTGCTAAAAATTGAAAGAGAATAAGTTGATTTTGTTTCTTTTGCGAATTTTTACCGCAAAAACAAGTGAAATATGGTCAATTTTCGTTCTTTCTCAGTTGTTAAAAAGTGTTTTTGAATTCGTAATTGTGGTAATTGAATTCTACAGACTCAAACAAAAAAAATGCTTTTCAACTTGGTTATAAATAAACTTATAGTCTACCCTTCTTATTAAAAGACAGTTCTCATATTTTTGACTTTCTAAAAAGTAATTGACACAAGATCGTAGTTAATTCTTGCTCCCTTATTATGAATAATTCGTTTTTAAAACTGACAAGTTGTATTCGATGCGCGTAAATCATACTTTTACATTTTCACTTTAAATCAATAAGTTTTGTTCATAAATAGCAATCATAGATGCTCAATTTGTGTTTGTATTTTTTTTTCTTACATGCGAAATTACGTTTTAGAAATAAAAAATAATATATGTTTCGGTTAGAGGAATACAAAAAAAAAGAAAAACACTACATTCCGGTATCATCTCTTTTATTTATTTCAAGCTTGATCAAGATTTTTGCTTTCTTTATGGTACAAAAACAGCTGGTCCGAGAAACGCAGTTTTTCACTTTTTTCTAAAAAAACTAAGAATTTTGTGACACACACACGAGCAAAATGAAAAACAGACTAATATTAATATGTGATCACACAAGCATTGACATGATGTTCTAAAAAGAGGGTTTTTTTCTGTTCTAAATTCTGGCAATAATACAAAAAATTGTACTAGAGGAGTAAATTGAGACTACGTGTTCATATTTTGAGAGAGACGGTGAAGAAGAAGAAAAAAACGAGACAAAAATATGTTTTCTATAGACTGACAATTTGTTTGATCGTTCGATGCTGATATTTTAACCGCTGGCGCTTATATCAACTTTGTATCCACCATATACTTGTACTAATTTATCGAATCCAGATAACACACCAGCACCGGCAATACCTCTCAATATATTTGCACCAGCGCCTTTGAATAACGACAACGAGCCTTCATTTCGTAATATTTGAAAGAAACAGTCCATTGCACCCTTGTATTTCACAGCTTGTCCAGATGTCATCATCATACGTCGACGAATTGTATCAACAGGATATGATATAAGACCGCTAGTGACTGTTACAGCATAACCTAATAAAAATGATACTATAACACCAGCATCAGGTCCCAATAAAATTGGTTTTAAGGTATCGTAAAATCCAAAATAACATCCACGATAAATAATAATACCGACACATGAAATAACAAAACCACGATACAATCCTTGAATACCATCTGTTGCTAATGTTTTTTTATAAACATCAATTAAACCATTATATTTTCGTGGGCCAGAACCCTTTTTTGAACTTTTAGCATCATTAGCCAGACGTGTTCGGGCATAATCTAATGAATAAACAAAGCACAACGACATTGCACCAGCAACACCACCACTAGCAACATTTTTTCCAAAATTAACCATATATGGATCAGTTTTTTTTTGTTTAAATGCCGCTTTAATTTGGTCTTTGAATGCAAAATTCAATGCCTAAACAGACACAAAAGTAAACACATGAAATGATAGAGCCAGAAACAAAATCAGTTTGTTATTTTAAACCAATGTGTAAACAAAAAACGTCGAAATCTAAAAAAACATGATCAGTTGATGCCGCCTAAAACATCGACATCCTCTACAAAAGTAACTCAATCTACAGACACAATAATACTTTGACTCGTTCGTTATCCGTAACGTCCTTGACCAGTTACAATCAAGCAGAAAAACTGTAACACAAGAAAACTTTCGCAAGTACTAACTTCTCCTTCGCCTTATAATCATTCAGGAACAGTCAAGAACTTCTTACTAGGTTATCAATAAAGTCCTCGACCGACATGCGAAAGCGTCACGTGTTTGTTTTTTCTAACTATTCGTCATTAGGCCTCTGGGCGCTCCTAGAATCTAAAAAAAATGCATAGTGAGCATAGAAAGAAATCACTTCTCTAAAAGTTTGATACTCTTGAGTTGAAGTAAAAAATGTCGTATATACCTGGGTAGGAAAATAACGTATACAGTTGGCAAGATTACCACGCCAAAATGGCCAGAATCCTTCATTTCTGAATGTTGTTGCTGTACAATCGATGATACCTTTATATGGTCGATCAATAATTCCTTGTTTTAACATTTCTCCTTGATTTTGAACAAGCAATTTAACACGTTCAATTGGTGCAGCAGCTGTTTTTGAAATGACAGCAGCAGCTCCACTAAGTGCAAAATTTTCTATAAAATTCAACTTTGGTTTTTCCTAATAAATGAACACAAGGAAATAACAACAATTAGCAAACTCAATCAATTTTTCTTCATATATCTTACCGTTGCCATTTTTTAATTAAATTTAGTCAGAGTCTAGAGTACGAAAGCTGATGTCTGATTTATTTTTAGTTGTTTTTCAGAAAAAGATATTAATGGACTTTGCTTTTTGTACTATATTGTGGTGAAATATGGCCGGATTCTTTCTCCTTTTCGTTCAGCGAAATGCCGAGTCACTTAGTTCTGTTATTTATACAAGAGAAAATGGACGAAACCTCCTCAAAAATGCTTGAATTCCGTTAGTTCTACAAGGTTCTTTGTTGTTTCGTGTTTTTATGTACAAATGCAGTATACTGCAAATAAATTCTTTATAAGGGTTCGATACTTGTTTTTGATTGTTCTACTAATGAAGTACAGTCAGTGACGATAATTTTTGGATGAAGCTGCATACACATGGAGAGAGTGGCTCTTGTAGTTAACTATTGCTCTACATAATATTTTATTATTGGATGTATCTAATAATTAATTTAATTATATTCTATTCGATTTTTTTATGAAAAAAAAGCGTTTCTAATTGGATTTTCATTCACAGTTTTCGAGTGTTATCGATCAAGGTGAAGGAAAATTTAAACTTTGATAACCATCTAGTTACTAAAATAAAAATTGTGAATAGATACTCGCTGATGAAAAAAGACGAAAACTTTGGCAGTAGGTTCAAAATCCTCTTAGAATGCCCAAATCACCGCCTTTCTCCGAACTAATCCGTAACGCTGTTTCCATCCTTAGCTTCTCATATTTTCTTATACTGACAACAGAGATTTTCTTAAATAATAAGCTGTAAATCTAAATCTCAAATTGATTTAAGCATATTTATTTCTAAAGCTGATAATGAACATACAAAGGAAACGATGAATATATGCACGGCAAATCGGGCAGTCTCATTGTATGCCGGATCTCTCGTATACAAAAATAAAAAACTAATAAATAAAAAATAAAATGATGTAATGATAAGTAGATGACAGTAGTGTTGAAAATATGCGAAACAAAAGGTAGCAATTAACTGATAGAGAGGAAAGGTAGAGGGATATGCAATATCGTAATGTAACAATGCATTTAGCATAGATGCAAATAAAACATCAAGACTGATCAAACCGCTGAATTGCAGCGATAAAGTGGAAGACAGCATTATGTTATATACTTCGATCAATTCTTCTTTGCGGAGTGCTCTTATCAAACTATTTTGCAACAAAACACGATCAGTTGTTACCGTATTTACTTTTTGGATATTCGTGAAAAAATGTAACATCGCTTGGCGCGGGGCATCATACCGAGTACAATGCATAAAGAAATGTTTAGCTGATTCCTTATCATCTCCACAAATACAGTCTAACGAGGACACATGTTGTCTTGTGAATAAAGGTTCATTTAACTATGGAAAATCAAGTCTACATTTCGTACAATGTATTTTCAAGTTTTCTATTCTTAACAGGAGGAACTCGAAAAGATTCTAGGAAAGATGATTCTAAGTACGATTTAAAACGTTTATACTTACAATCATTACGCACGTAAACTGATTCCGTAGTTTACTTGAGTCTGAAAAAAGACGAAAACTTTGGCAGAAGGTTCCAAAACCTTTTTAGGATGGCAAAATTATCTCCTTTCCCCGATTGGTTCCATCCTCAACTTCTTATATTTTCTTATATTGATAGCAGAGATTTACATTGGGCTGTGGATTGCAGCAATGTACATTACTCACAAACAATCAAGTGTTGTGAAAAATATAAGATTAAGATGAGTCATCAATTATATTGGATTGAAACATTTCTGAATCAGCATACGATGGCCGTAGATAACGAAAATTATTATAAATTTGCAAAGATCGAATAAGTATTTAGCAAGTAAATAAACAATTACAAGCTCTTTTTCTATTCTTTACTTTATTTTTGCACAAGCTCTCATGCTGTTTATTTAAGTCTTCTGTACCAGGAAATTTTCTCTTAATTATGGATTTTTACTTAATTATGGAGCTGAACTTTTGTATCATATTGAGACTGCTTGCTTGGTTTCAGCGGGTAATCTGCTGTATAGTTCTGATACCACTTTTTGAACGAAGAATTTTATGTATCATAGTTTATGTTGATATTATTTACTTATTTGATTCTTTTAGATGACGAATGATGACGTAGTGATTTATTATTGATCTAGATAAACAAACAACTTTGTTTACCTGAAGTCGAGATATTAAGAATAGCGTTTAGTAACTGCTGCTTGTGACGTACAGTATAAATGTACAGCAGACTTACTTTAAACAAAGAACCATATAGAAAAATAACGCCAAAAAGCTAAAACACTTGTTCATATGTGAAATCACGTATGACATTCAAATTCAGCATGAAAAGTTACGTAAAAAACATATTTTTATCGAATTAGAAGGCAAAAATCTATGGAAAGTCCTTAGAAAAACAAGAGTTTTCTAGAAAGCTCGTTTCCCGAAAAGTTCTATCAGCTAAAATTTATTTTAACATATTTTGTACATTTTACGTTGTTCTTTCAATCAAAAAAACTTTATTGAATGCTGAGTGGGCCCAGAATTAGGGCAAACATTGCAAATTAGGTAAAAATAACTGAAAAATGATACTTTTTGCATGGTTTTGCTGTAAAAAGTAACATGATGATATCTCGGCTCTCGCATTAGATAGAGAGCTGCAGTTTTCTCCAAAATTCATCATTTTCCATAGTCTATCAGATGCGGTAGGAGAGAACTCTCCGATACTTTTGTATATTGCGGTAGGTTTCACATGGATACATCCGACAACAAAATATTAAACGATCATGAGGATTGCAAATCAAATCGTAATGGAACTATAAGCTCGGCCAATGATGATTCCTATCAAGGCTGAGGATGTAGAAACATATCCCGGTGTAATATGAATAAAAAAAGTACGATAACTAGTATCAATGAGCTTATATCAGAGTTTGGGGACGATAATCTGGCCGATACCAGCAAAAAAATTTAGCAGCGACTGAGAATGTTTTATTTATTAAGAAATGGCAGACAGTTTGTTTAAGAGTAATAAAATTTCAATAGTACACATATCTTGATTTCGAATAGATGTATAGCGCATATTGCTGTATTAGATTGATTATTTTCATCTACAGGAAAAATAGAGTTTTAAATTTGTCAACGATAATTATAGTTTTCGTTCAAGGTTCTATTGAACGCTTGTGCGAGAGATGTTTAAATAAAGTTCTTTTTTTTTGTTGTTGCATGAATACAAGATGTCATTTAAATATTATACTCTACATATGTCAAAAGAGAAAAAGAGAAAAATGTAGCTGAAAATGTTAAATAATAATCAATTGAAGATTAAAACTTGAATTTCACTATTCTTTATTTAAAACACCACTATGCTTAATCAAAAGGTACACCATTATTTTTTGAATAGTCTTTGATTAAAAGAAGAGAAAGATCTTCACTTTTCGAGCAGATCAGATTAAACATATATTTTCTGAAGTGTGAATTTTGAATGAGTATGAAGTTTTTTAAAAAGGAAAATGTATATTCGCGAAAAAACAGGTTTTCACTACTATCTATTCTACCATTAAATAGCATCGATTATTTTTTGAATAAGTCGAAAACAAAAATTGCTAGTGACTTTCGGTTTTTATCAGTTTGTAGTGAAAACTGATAAAACTCTGTGAAAACTCCCGCCAAAGGCCTTCTTATCTCTCAAACTTAGAAAGTATCCATTATTCTGTGATTCTAAGTGGAGCGCGAATGTTAGAAATGAATGGAAGCATAGATTATCTACCTTGCTGAATCTTGTGGAAACGTTAGTTTTTGGAATAAAATTTCAACATCTAGTGAAAATCTATATTGGGTGGAATAAGCCGTTTTGAACTGTTTTCAGCGAAAATAAAAAAATTCATAGTTCAGTCAAAAACGATCCAAACTACTTCAGAATATCATGCTGTATTTTATTTTACCTACACTGTACCACAGAGTTCAGGAATAGAGATGTGCATGGGTACCGTTTTCCTACTCGTACCCGATGTGAAAAATTTGTTTCACTCGTACCCGACCCGATCCGAGAACTTTGTACCCGTGTCCGATCCATACCCGACTTATGCCTAAAAAATTTTCTCCTTTTTAAAAACTCATAGCAAATATTTTGGCTTTTGGAACGATTTTCTACAGATAAAAGAATATTTTTTTCATGATCTTAAATACAGAACCAGATCGAGCGAACAAAATCCCTAATCGACACTCTCCATGAAAGTCCCCAGGAACTCTCTGTAGGCCTATTGGCCCATCCTTTTTAGTTTCATACAACGAATTAGTAATTAAGTGCCAGGTACCATCACTGGTACCACTGTAGCACATATCAGCCAACGAAGGTTGACACATTAATGATGATTTACTAGAAGAAAATTCGTAAAAATTGATCATAGAACTATATTATATTTATATATTGTCTATCTGCAAAACAAACGGTGAATGAGGAGTTGGTAGGAACTCCCTGGGAATTGCACATGCTGGGGACTCCCCAGGGAGTCCCTAGGAGTTGCATATTTCGTATACATTTCGGGGACTTCCCAGAAAGTTTGAGGGTGACTCACTGGGGAGCCCCCGGGGATATTTTGGGAAGAGCCGACTAGGGATAGAATATATTCATTTAACTAAATTTGAGAGTGAACAGGGACTGTTACTACGAAAGTTAAGAAAACATAGGTATTTAGTGACTAAACTTTTGATAAACATTCGGAAAAAGCATGTGACTAGGAATCGAAGCCAAGACATCGGTTAACAAGATCAATGCTTTACCACTGAGTTATCCAGGCAGTCTTGGCATGTTATTCCAAATGAATGATCTTGATAGCTTAGTGGAAGAGTATTGGTCTTGTTAGCCAATGTCTTGGCTTCGATTCCCAGTCGACACATGCTTTTTCCAAATGTTTGTTTATCAAAAGCTTAGTTGCTAAAGATTATGTTTTCTTAGCATTCATCCAACTACCTGGTAATAATTTACTGATTGTATTACAGACATAATGAAAATTTTCCATGGCATGTT